CCGCCGTGGTCAGCGGGTGCGCGCAGCAGCACCTCCAGAAGCAGCAGCAGCAGCAACAGCAGCAGCAGTAGTAGTAAAGAGGAGCGTCAGTGAGCAGTCAGTGAACAGAGTGTCGGAGCTTCTCCACTGCTGTGGATGATACCGAACAGGACGCGCTCCTCCTGCGGGATGACCAGCAGCATGGCCGGGTGAGTCTCAGCCCAGATTCGTGCTTTCAAAGTTAGAAGATGTGCAGGGGGGGAGAGAGACATGCGGTGCGACGCGACGCCGGGGACGCGTTTCCGGAACCGTTGGCGGTGGTGGTGGTTTTTTTTTTTTGGTACAAGGTGGGTGACCTGAGGCCGGAGCAGCTGCTGCCGTGTGGTCCACGGCCATGCGGGGATGGGCTGCATCTGCCTGGGCTTCAGACCTGGAGTTGTTCGGTCTGTGTGTGTGCGTGTGTGCACAGCCTGCGGGGCACCAGCCTCAGCTCGGACGGGACACACATGCGGTCCCCGCCGCAGCAGCAGCAGCAGCAGCCGGACCTGGGGTGTAATGTCGTTTTTTTTTTTTACCCCTCTCCCTTTCCCTTCCTAAAAATCTGAGATGATTAAATGGGGTTTTCAACCACGGCGTCGTGGAGTTCTGTCCCTGCAGGTTCGTCCGTGATCTGTTGAGGCAGGTGCATCTCTGGTTCTGGTTGCGCATTTGAATCTGCAACTTTGGTTTGGTGTCTGTGTAGGAAACAAACAAAAAATAAATTCATCGCAAATTCGATTGACTCTAAATGAGCAAAAACCCCTAGAGTGGTTTAACATCTGCAGCTGCAATGACTGTATAGTCCTTAATGATTGTGCATGAGGAGCAGGAGGAGCAGCAGGAGGAGCAGAAGGAGGAGTGAGGAGGAGGAGGAGGAGGAGGTCGGGACAGGCTGGATTTTTATTTTTTATTTTTTGGTTAAATAAAGGAACATGCAACGTGTGTGTTGCTGCAGCCGCAGACCCGCGTAAAAGCAACAACTGGAGCC